GTCCTCTTCATTATTGTCTTCAACATCATCACCCTCATCAATGTCCTCTTCATCATTGTCTTCAACATCATCACCCTCATCAATGTCCTCTTCAGTATTGTCTTCAACATCATCACCCTCATCAATGTCCTCTTCATTATTGTCTTCAACATCATCACCCTCATCAATGTCCTCTTCATTATTGTCTTCAACATCATCACCCTCATCAATGTCCTCTTCATTATTGTCTTCAACATCATCACCCTCATCAATGTCCTCTTCATTATTGTCTTCAACATCATCACCCTCATCAATGCCCTCTTCATTATTGTCTTCAACATCATCACCCTCATCAATGTCCTCTTCATTATTGTCTTCAACATCATCACCCTCATCAATGCCCTCTTCATCATTGTCTTCAACATCATCACCCTCATCAATGTGATCTTTATCATTGTCTTCAACATCATCACCCTCATCAATGTGATCTTTATCATTGTCTTCAATATCATCACTCTCATCAATGTCCTCTTCATTATTGTCTTCAACATCATCTAGTTTCATCAATGTCCTCTTCATTATTGTCTTCAACATCTGTCACGTGCCTGATGTAAGGATTTCTCCTTCAGAACCAGCAGCACTCAGAAATAATTATGTTGAGTCGTTTGGCTCGTATTGGTCTAAGTGATTCCCCGTGGCCAGTATACGCTCAACTTATTTCTGGAGTAGGGCAACTCAAGTATTGGCACTACAAAATATGTCAGTATATGAATACAATATTCCTAGGCACACTTGGCTGGACACCCCCACTACTTACTAAAGAAAGCCCCCAGGTTATGATAGTTCATTATCATAACCATGTTAACACATATAGTGAAGATTCATACACACACAACTGCTAAACACTTAAAAAGGTGAAATAGAGACACCTAAGTCAGCCATGAAAATGAATGCATGTAATCATTACAACATGTACAAAATAGAAAATAGTGAAGTAAATGTCAAAACACAACAGCTGGATTCCAGAATACAAAGACTATAATCAACCAAAGTTAAACAGTCAGAAAGTCCTGGAGGAAGCATATATTCATCCTTGGAATCCAGTGGAGCTGTGTGGAATTTAGCATAATCGAGACATAAACTGGACTTATCCTAGTTCCACCATTGATGCCTCACTCAGCTCCGGGTGAATCGACTGTCTTTGACCCTGGTAATTCTGCTCAACTGGATCAGGTAATGGAAGAGTACCTCACCATAGAGGACACAGCACACAGCAAATAGCTCCCACTAGACATTAGCATCACTGTCCATGAGCTATACACATGTTCTGGCACTGTAGGAAGTTTGGGGTCTATGTCACCTCAACTTGACATCAATCTCCACACTTGGTAGTTGGGTGATAAGTGGTAGGTAATGGGTTAATTGATGGATGGGTTATGGTTGGTGGGTGTTGGTTGGACTGTGAATCTTCTGCCAGCTCCTCACAAAGAATTCATCCTGCCAAGAAATAACTCAGAATTAGTCATCACTAAGAGGGTAACATCTTGACAGGAAAGACAGAACAAGCCTCAGTCATCATCCCACATCTGCTTACTCCATCCTTGCTCCCCTGTTTCATTCCCCAGAATGCCTCTCAAGACCAGGAGACACAAGTCTCCTATCATTTATCTGTCTGTTTAGTGCAAGAGATGGAAAGTCAGATATATAATGGAGATAGATAGACACTCTAACACATATATCAATCTCTCTCCCTCCTCCCCTCTGCACACAGACACCAATATTTACTGTCAGTACCTTTCTTCCTTACGACTCCCAAGCCAGTCCTACCATTCATTGATCTGGGTCAAACACACTCACACACTGGCTGACCAAGTCCTGACCTAATTCTGTCCCCATTTGTATGCACAAACTTCTGTTGTTAGTTTAAATAGTACACACTTGTAAGGTTATTAGGTTTACCAGTATGGGTGGGTTATTTAGGGCCCAGGCTATTTAGTCTGTACAGAGGAAGGTCTAAGTTCGAATCCGCTTCTCTAGCGATCAAGAACGGTCGAACTATGTGTGATCCCACAGCCGATACTGATCTCTCTACAGCAGTGACCACTTTAACAGACATTGTTTTAGGTACTCGTAAACTAAAATTAACTTACCCAAGCATAGGAAAAGTCTCCGACATGACAGATCGCCTTCTGAAAGTGAAATTTTCTGGCGTCAATGCACACATCTGACCGCTAGGGAGCCGGTTACAAGAATGGCGCAAATTACGCACTCCAGGCGTTGGTAAAAAGGTGTTCCTAGTATACATGGGCAAGGAGTAAATCGGTTTCTAAGAAACCTCAAATAACTCCTCTAATATTTATCCAATGGATATACATTTACAAGTGGAGTTAAGTCAAAGCAACCAGAAAATGTAGACATAATAATTTTGTCCGTAAAGGCATATATCGATATAATGGACTATATATCTCTTCCTGGACGAGTCCAAGTTTGAATTTTGTGCCGCTTACAGGTATATCAAGTTACCAGTCTTACGGACTGATGTGTAATGGCTTATCATTCCACGACAACATCATCACCCCTCATCAATGTGATCTTTATCATTGTCTTCAACATCATCACCCTCATCAATGTGATCTTTATCATTGTCTTCAACATCATCGCCCGCATCAGTATGATCTTCATCATTGTCTTCAACATCATTGCCTTCCTTTTTGTCCTCTTCATCATTGTCATCAACACCATCACCCTCATCAGTGTTCTTTTCATCATCGTTCTCATCATCATCACCATTACCATCATTATCTACACCATCAGTCGTCTGACCTCTTTTATGTGCAGTCAGATGACTAGTCGCCATGTAAACATGTGGGTGGGACTGCTGGTATTTCATCATCATCACCATCATCGTCGTCGTCAGTAGATTGTTGTGACCATCATCATCTTAACTGCCACATATCTTTACGTTGTCTACTGCCAGACCTCGTGTTGCTGTGCGAATCTGTACCTGGGACTGATGGTGTTTTATCATCACCACCATTGTCATCATTGTTGTTGTTATCAAGCTGATCTTCACTATCATTGTCAACACTAGGGTTGTCATCTTCATCACCACCACCGCACATCTGATTTGTGTGTGTGGCTAGACCGCAAGATGAGATGGTTTGAATTTCATCATCACGTTATCGGCATTATCGTTTAGCATTATGTCTAGCATCATCATCATCATTATCATCATCATAGGATCCCAAAATATCTGTGTCAGTCTGACTGCAGCCAAGTTTATCTTCATTGCCACATGTCAGAATAAACTCTTTGCTTCTTCTTCTTCTTCTTCTTCTTCTTCTTCTTCTTCTTCTTCTTCTTCTTCTTCTTCTTCTTCTTCTTCTTCTTCTTCTTCTTCTTCTTCTTCTTCTTCTTCTTCTTCTTCTTCTTCTTCTTCTTTTTCTTTTCTCTTCTTTTTTTTTCTTCTTCTTTATTTTTCTTCTTCTCCTTCTTCTTCTTTTTTTTCTCTCTTCTTCTTCTTCTTTTCCTTCTTCTTAACATTCATCATCTGTAAAGTCCTGTGAAAATTTCTGGTTGATCGTCCACTTCTGGACTATGGTTTTGCTCCAGAACTTTGCAGTTTTATGTGCAAATCCATTTTACACATCTGGTTTATTTGTATGCAGACTACTGTTTGTGTGTGTGTGTGTGTGTTTTTTGTGTGTGTTTGCCTCTCAAACAGATGCAATCCCCCTATGAAAGAAAAACCCTAATTAATCCTCGTGTGTGACATGCTTGTTATAGGGAAAGTTGGTCTAATCTTTCTTCACCTAAATGGGGCCCCTGAACCGTCATAGGACACGATGTCACCATTGTTACCACCTCTGTTTAGAAAAATTCTCTTTAACTAGTTGAGTCTTAAGTAACGCGTGGTGTGTGGTGGCCTCTTATGACATGCCCACGCGAATTCCAGCCATCGCATTATGTGTTGTATTTTTCAAAAAGCTGGGTACAATTTAAACATATGGCCACGTCGACTGCAAAGTTCGTTGGCTATATCCCGTCCCTCGTTGAGCATCTCCTGCCAGACCTGCTGGTACTAAAGGAGTGAATCCAGTGCAACAATTAGTTAAATACATTCATCGTTATCTGTTGCTCTGCAATTTGCTCTGGATGTACACTTTTTCAAAATGCTGTTCGAACGAATCCTGATCTTATCCCCCCACTCGTATTACTGTCTGCCTTTTGCTTACTTGTTGTCGGCTTTTTTGTTTTAAAATATTTAATTTTAACCTAGTGTGGGTTTTATAAAATTGTTATTAATATGGCCAAAATATTTCCCTCGTTTTTTTTTTTTTTTTTTAATTATTCAGCAACTCTCCTGTCTTCTTCTTAGTCGCATTTGCCGGGCTTTAAACTCCGATGCAACGTTCTAATTGCTCATCCACTCCTGAAATATAGTCGCATTTCAGAACTGGAGCAACTCTCTTTTCACTCTTAGACTCTCCAGGTCCTCTTTATTTTTTTAACTTTTATACAGTACGGCCTATTCTTCTATATATCCACATTTCCAAAGACTCAGTTCAGTTTTCTAATTACTTGTTGATTGTCCAGGTTTCTGCACCACACAGCAGGGATGCCTATACCTAACGCCCGACTTCAGTAAGAGCTTTTATCCAGTTACACAAATATCTACCACTATCAGCATCACTTATCTAAAAAGAGCTTTTATCAGGTACAGCCACTTTATTAGTATAATAATCAACTTATCTCTTTAGAAAGAGTTAAAAATTAGAGCCAGTTAGTCTATACACATTTAGGTCTGAGAAATAAAGTGGCTGGCGTGATGTTGGCCATGTGATCCATAAATTATAGGTCTAGAATTGTATGCCCAATATGCCTGAAAGCACTGAAAAGAGTCCATAACTGTTTTTTTTTTTCAACTGTCACTACATGTCTGATGTACCTCGGGTGTGAAGAAATATCCTTGACTTTATTGTACTTACCGACACACTTCCTCTGTTATGTTCTCCTCCCAGGTGACTTTTTGAATGACCCAGCTTCATGTAGAACCAGCCATCACACACCTGATCACTTTTTCGACCACACGCACAACACTGCTCACACGCTACCACCCGGCTCCTACCAGGCTGGCCACAACATCAAGTCAGAAATCCCCTGGACTGGGTCTGATTACAATGGTAAGTTCTACATTAGTGCGAGTTGTAGGTTGTACGATGGTAAGATGTACAATGGTCAGTTTGTGTATGATGATACACAGTGCAATGGTAAGATGTACAATAGTAAGTTTGTGTGTGATGACCAACAGTGCAGTGGTAAGATGTAAAATGGTAAGTTTGTGTGATGATCACAGTGCATTGGTAAGATGCACAATTGTAGTTTAGTAAGAGTATGTCCTATGATGAGAAAGTGTGCAATGGTAAATGCACGGTGGTAAGATGTACAATAATCAGTGGTAAGTTGTGTGATGATAATATGTAGAATGGTATGTTGTACAGTGATAAGTTGTGTGATAGTAAATAAGAAGAATTCCACGGCAGGAGCATGTACAGCAGGAGTCTACTGATCATCAGTAGAACGGTCCCTCGTCGACAGTTGTTTCAGCCCTCCTATAGAATCTCAGAGGTTGGGCCGACCTGGGTCATGACGCTAGGTCTCGGACATTTCTTGCTGCACGTAGCGGACAATCGAAATTGGACAAGTTGAAAAGGTGGTTTTGCAACTGGTATTATGAGGTTTGGTGTTATATATGTGTAAAATATAGAATGATGAATAGCGCAATGCTGAGTTTGCAATTCTAAGTTGCAAGATTGTAGTTTATGTGACGGTATGTTCTGTGATGGGAAGATGTGCAGTGGTAAGTTGTCTGATGTTATATTTGTAATGGTAGATTGTACAATGGTTAGTTGTTTGATGGTAGATTGTACAATGGTTACTTGTTTGATGGTAGATTGTACAGTGTTAAGTTGTTTGACGGTTATTTGTGTGACACTATGTTGTATGATGGTATGTTGTTGTATGTTAAGCAATGGTTGGTTGTGTGAGGGTATGTTGCACAATAGTATTTTTTGCAATGATAAGTTGCATGCTGATATGTTGTGTAGCGCATTGTTGTGGGATGGTAATTTGTTATATGGTATTTGTGAAATATTAATCTGTGTGATGGTATGTTGAGTGATGGCGTCGTTGTTTAGTGGTAAGTTGTTCATCTTGTTTCTGTCAAATCTACTGCTGGTCATTGCTGCTAATCTGTCACTTTCTCTCTTACTCCCCCTCCCCCACTGGGTCACACACACTCTCTCTCTCTCTCTCTCTCTCTCTCTCTCTCTCTCTCTCTCTCTCTCTCTCTCTCTCTCTCTCTCTCTCTCTCTCTTTCTGTCTCTTTCTTTATTTCTCACCCTCTCTCTCTCTCTCTCTCTCTCTCTCTCTCTCTCTCTCTGTTTCCTCCTCTCTATCTCTGTCTTCCCTCTCTATGCATACGATGTGTTCACATACTTGTTGTTACTCTATTCTACAACAGGCGAACATTGCAACACTTACTTCAGAAGTGCCATGGGAGTCGGGAGTTTCAACAATTTGAGAACCGTTTCACCGGATGATTCTCCCTCCAGTGAACCGGGGAAGCCAATGATACAGGCTGCCGTGCTAGCAGGCTATTCAGGTAGGTACAAATGTGCCCTTATGCATCTTGTGTTTTAAGACATTACACATTCTCCTCAGCTTACAACTAAGGCAGTTTATGATCATCGTCACTTACGGGCGAGAAAATCAATACAAATTGTAAATAAAGAAAGCTATGCTATCAATGCCAAACGTGGACACCTACATCCTCCAATGAACGTAAAATTGTGACAACAGAGAGAAATGCCTTAGAGGAGCTACAGGAGTTTCAAGGAAAGACAGAATACGAAATCAGACGAATATTAGGAATAAAGCCAGTCTTACAGGTCATCGAAGAACAACAAATGAACTGGTTTGGACATCTAACAAGAATGCCCTGGTACTATCTGCTACAGCGAGCCACACTAAAATGTTACAACGGGTATAGAGCGAGTGGAAGACCTCGGAAAATATGGAGCGATGGCATTAAGAGCAGCCTTACAGAAATGAACATCAGTCTTAATAGTGCTCTTGACAGAGCTCATCAACGAACATTACATCTCCCCCCGACACTTCGATGAGGTACAATGCGAAAGAGAAGAAGAAATAAAGAAAGAAGAATTACATTGGTAGGGTCAAAAGGTTACTGCCACTGATGCGATGGAGAACATATGTATTTTTTACATTATTTACAATACTTTTACATATATAGATTGGATTTTAAAAAAAATATGTACAGCTTGTATAACCCGTTTAAAAAAAAATTGTGCTAAAATATATATAAATTTGACCAAAGACCAATTCGACTGATAACCTGTTACTCAGAACGGAACTCGGTGGTTAAGTCAAAGAGACCCTCTATTATACCAGCATTCCTTAGCAGATAATCATTGAAGTCTGCTGATCATACTTTGAGAATCACTTGTATAAAAATGTGCAGAATTTCTGTCCAGGTTTGGATCTTCATTTTGAAAACTTGGTCTTTAAAACACATTGTGGCAAAATATATTGAGGTTTACAGCTAGGCTGTGGTATATGTGTCTTTTAACCGAACACTTTGCTTTCAGTAAATCCTTATTTGGTCTGTGCTACTATGTACTGGATGCATGTTTATGTGTGATGAGATTGTTATCGTTTGCACTAGAATAGAACCCTGGAACTCAAACAGGGAGGAATTGTAGTATAAATGGTAATGATCAGAAACTTTCTAATTGAGATAATCAACGTTAACTAAGTCCGGGAGGAATTGTAGCCTAAATTGTAATGATCAAATTCTTTCTAATTGAAATAATCAACGTTAACCAAGTCCGAGGGAAATTGTAGTATAAATGGTTAAGTTTAAAAAAAAAAATTTGATTGAGATAATCACCGTAACTTCATCAAGTCCGGGAGAAATGTTAGTATAATTGGTAATTATTAACAATTTCTATTTAAGGCAATCAACGTAATTTCATCAAGTCCTGGAGGAATTTGAGTAAATATGGCAATAATCAGAAAGCTTTTAAGTTAGATAATCAACGTAACTTCATCAAGTCCTAATGAGCTTACTTCTTCCAGTCCGCATGACTTCATTTTTTTTTTTTTTTTTTTGCTGGCTATCATTCTGAGAGTTCTTTCATTGTTCATTTTTGAAATAATCTTCATCGCACATCGGACATGACCATAAGTGCTCCGATCTCCTCCTGAGTATGTCTCCAAGTGTTTTTAGGTTCACAACTCGCATTCAGTTCTGGCTGATGTAAGGATGGGTGGCTCCCGCATGGTTGACCAGTCTCGCGGCTCTAGGTGGTACACCCAGGTTATGCAGTCTATTCAGTGAACAATTATTTTCCACGAAACTGAAAACCTCACAGCGTTTTTTTTTTTTTTTTTCGTAAGGCATTGATGGATTGGTCTGTAAAAATATGGACGCTCTTCTCATATAACCGATGCGCCTAAGGCGTGAAAAGGGGGAAGGCATTGATGATGTCTCTCCTGTCCAAAGAGGGCCCATTCCTGATTGTCGCACTGTCAGCCAAGCGATTGCTCTCTCATTGACTTTCACACCAGCATACACTGGGACGAAAGTGAAGGTGATTTTGCGAAATGCTGCGTGCTGTATCAGATGGAGCCATTGTTTCTGTGTGTACACCGCCTTGATCTTCTGTCGCATGCTCATTGAGGCGCTGAGCAAACATGCATTGGTGAACTCCTGAGTATTCAGCCAGTGTCCCACAAAGCACCATGAAAAGACATCAGACCAGACTAGAAGTAGAACAAGTCAGCTGCACATTATCAGAATCATGTACCAAAAGTTAACGCTGCGGCTAGGAAGTCTTCAGCAGCACACAATGTGAATAGGCAATGTTACAGTTCCAAACAAGAATATCCAGAATCACCTAACTGATGTCTCTCCGAGAAATGTGCACATCTTTGGCCAATTGAAACTTTGAGACTCGTGTTAATGCGGGAAATGTATTAGCAAAGCAAAAGAGTTGTGGTAGGCAAGGGCCGTAACTTAAAATCATAAGATGAAACTGTATCGGACATTAAGGGCCTTGGGCGATTTGCAGATGTTTAGATATGATGGACTTTGACACTGGAGCGGCTAGTCCCGCATGTTGAAACACCACCGTGACCCTAAGAAGCTAAAAGATCGACACTGGGCACTGTTATGCACATCGAAAAGAATTCGAACTCAAAACCTTTAGACTGACATCTAGAGGTTCCCCGCAGTCCTGTGCGGGTAAGGATTGTAAGTTTTTGCATATCCCTCTGCCTTTAAACCTGTATCTGTAAATCAGTTCATGGCCAGAGACAAACTAACATGACACGAAAAAGTAATTTAAAAAACCTGCCAGGTTTGCCCTTGCCTCCTTAGGTTAAAAACTCCTTCTAAGGTTTTGTCAGGATGACCTATACATTTATCCCCCCTTGACTCTTGTGACATTTCCGTGTCAGAACAGAGTTCATCTGAAGAACATGCATGCATGTAAACATGGCTACAGACACAAAGTCATTCTGTAGATCTTGCTGCAGGGTGGAGGTAGATTGTTCTCCTGGGTGCATTATCATGTCAGATAAGTTATTTTAACGCCAAGGTGCTGAATGTTGCAGCCAGGGGTACCGAAACTGGCAAGCATATGTTCTCTGGTTCCTGCCCACCAATTTTTTCCGTGGCTTAGGCGTTACAAATTAAATGCGTAATTGCGAGATTCTCGGTTATAAACCAGCCGTGGATGCTTTGTGGTGACACAATGAAAGAAATTAAACGGCGACTATCAATTGATCTTCAAAGACTAAAACAACTGAATAAATTATGGAATTGTACAGATAGAATTACAAAGGTCAGATTTTTAAGAGCGTGCATCTTTCCCATTGCAACATACGCCTGTGAGACCTGGACACTTACTAAACAAGCGGAACAGCGCATAAATGCATTTGAATATAAATGTTACAGACAGGTTCTAAGAATATCTTGGGTAAAGAAAAGAACAAATGCATCCATACTTCAAGAGCTGAATATTGAAGAGGGTTGGCTAGTAAAGACAATAAAACAAAGAAAATTGAAATATTTTGGTCACTTGAAACGTCATGGAAGTCTAGAGAGAACAATAATGGAGGGGTATATGCCTGGGAAGAGAGGAAGAGGAAGGCCAAGGAGAAGATGGGTGCAGGATGTGGCAGATGATCTCCAGATGGGTGTATCAGACGCAGGACATCTTGCTCAGGATAGGAAGGTTTTCCGGAGGGTTGTTATGGCAGCGAGGTTCCGCGAGGGACATGCTACTGAATGAATGAATGGATGCTTTGATAGCAGAACAGATTGGTTGGTTTCGACATGAGTATCACGAACTGACCATTTCTTTTGCAATTACAATATACTGAACGTAAAATTGGCTAGTACAACAACACACAAAAACAATTAAAACTTGTTCCAGTTAGATCTGAAGTTTCCTGTAAGGGATATGTAACTAACTATATATATATATATATATATATATATATATATATGAAGCATACCTACATACCTCAACTGGAAAGGAAGGGCCATCCACATACATAGATATTTCTAAGAGTTTCGCTTTTAAATCCAGATGCGACTGGATGTAGCCTACGGCCGGTATTTGAAACCGGGCGGTTCCCGAGGTTCACCCAACCTCTAGGACATGGGTACCAGAGTTGACACTCTGGGGTAAATGGAGAAACGTCGCTGTAGCTACGGAGTTACGTGCGAACGGCGACACAGGCGGACAATTGCTTATCAGCTGTCCTTACTGGTGGCAGAGAACTTAGGTTTATAACTGTGTGCAATGACGCTGGTTCACATATCCCGAATTTACCTTTTTTTTATAAGATATCTCTGCATCAGTGAATTCTATAATTTGTGCCGCTTCTCTGGATGTTTATTTGCCTTTTTTTTTATCTCAATATCATCGCACTAATATAATTTACCCTGTTGTTACTTGGGTATGCATTTTACTCAATTTGTTGTCCTTTGAAGCCGGAGTGCATCTGTCTGATAGGCAAGAAAACAACAGACTGCACAGATCTGTAAAACAGATGCACACACAACAAACTTAGCTCCGGAAACAATGCTAAAGTCTGGAAATGGACGAACCACCAAGACTTTCCACTGGAGTTATAGTCAGTAAACGTAAACAACAGACACTAATTTTGTTTTTGATTCTGTGACTGTTTACCTTTTGCGGGAACGTTTTCCTTATTCTGTTTCCTTATATTCAATCAAGGTGGCTCTTTGTTATAATCGCAACCAAAACATTGATATCTTCTTCTTCTTCTTCTTCTTCTTCTTCTTCTTCTTCTTCTTCTTCTTCTTCTTCTTCTTCTTCTTCTTCTTCTTCTTCTTCTTCTTCTTCTTCTTCTTTTCTTCCACCTTGTACCTCATCTAAGTGTCGGGGGGGGGGGGGGGGGGAGATGTAATGTACGTTGATGAGCTCTGTCAAGAGCACTAGTAACACTGATGTTCATTTCTGTAAGGCTGTTCATAATGCCATAACTCCATATTTTCCGAGGTCTTCCACTCGCTCTATACCCGGTGTAACAATTTAGTGTGGCTTG